TTTGGCTGTGGGGTGAGATTGTTCTTTCAGGGGCCTGGCTGTACAGTGGGGTCTTACTGCATTTGCCGGCTGATCTGGGACCTAATGAAGGAGTGTTTTCAGCACTTAAGGGTCTGTACTGGTGGCACACTCTGCAGCACTTCTCAGCCTGTGTCTTGCTGGATTATCAAAAGCAAAAGGGGGAAAATATGAATTATCCAAAAATCACAGTCATCCAATAGACCTGGCATGTGGTCTCCCTTTTTTTCTGCTGCCCTCCAACTTTCTTAGCATTCTTGTCTTTTTGAGTGGGTCCTGCCATATGATGTAGCCAAATTATAACAGCCACAGTTTCATCATCTTGGCTTCTAGGAGTATGTAAGGCTTGATCTGTTCTAGGACCTATTTGTTCATCTTTTTGACTGTCCATGATATCTTCAGCTTTTTGACTGTCCATGGTATCTCTTCTCTGGCACCACATCTCAAATGAATTTATTTTCTTCCTATCTGCTTTCTTTACTGTCCACCTCTCACATCTGTACATGTTGATGGGAAGTACAATGGCTTGGGCGATTCTTATTTTAGTGCTCAGTTGTATGTCTTTACTCTTTAGGATCTTTTTTGGTTCTTTCATAGCTGCCCTTCCTACTCCTAATCTTATTTCTTGGCTGCAGTTCTCATTCTGATCAATGTTTGATCCTAGATATGGGAACTCTTAACTATTTCGTTTTTTTCATTGTCTAGGTTGAATTTATATATTTCTTCCATGGTCAGTATTTTTGTTTTCTTTATGCTCAGCATTAAACCTGCCTTTTCACATTTGTCTTTAAACTTCTTTAGTAATTGTTCCAATTCTGGGATGTTTTCTGCTAGTAATGTGGCATAATTCACATATCTGAGATTGTTGATGTTCCTTCCTCCTATCTTCCATCCTCCTTCTTCTGAATCTAAACCTGCTATTCTTATTATACTTTTTGCATACAAGTTGAACATTGATACATTGATCTGTAGAATCAGAAATTCTCCAGCATATGGCTGCTGCTGTCCAAAGCATCTCTCACAACTGTAACATCTTTGAACAGTAGGCCTCAATTTCTGTGGGAACATAACTCTGGAGCTATTTTTAATTGAAGGATTCATAATGGGAAATGATGTGGTAATGACAAGAGTAGAGCTTGAAAGAAACTATAGACATTTGTAGCTAGTTGCTTCCATTTAATTCCTTTTCCCAGTACTGGAGAGTATCATGAAGTTACATTAAAGTTGTAACTGAGTGGGGGAGAACTTTATTCCTTTGGCAGTGTACGATGGGGCATCATAAAGTAATAATTATCACCCAGAAGTTATTATGGTATGTTGATG